ATTGATTGACTGATTGATTTATGCAGTGCTCCCTCCCCTCCCCTTCTACCCCGATAACCAACAAAGAAAGTTTCCTTCTAAACCTTTCCTTGTCTTTTTACAATAATGAACTAAAACAGTATTTGTCCTTCTGCAATTGACTTATTTCACTCAGCGTAACTTGGAAAGTTCATCCACGTTATGTGGTATTTTGCAGAGTCTACATTATTCTTTAGTGTTGCATAGTATCGCGTTGTGTGTGTGTACCATAGTTTGGCTGTCCATTCTTCTGTTGATGGGCACCTAGGTTGTTTCTCAATGGGCAATGTTGACTGCTAATCAGAAGGCTGGCGGTTCAAACCCACCAGCCACTCCTCAGAAGGAACGTTGGGCAATCTACTTCTTTAGTGATACTGCCTCGGAAACCCAAGGAGGGGTTGCTATGAGTCAGGTCCGACTCGATGGCAAATAACAACAACAACAACAACATAGGGTAGCTCTGAGTTAGAATTGACTTGAAGGCAAAGAACAGTAGCTCTGGTAATAACTTACTTAGGAATGAGCACTACAGATAATAAATTGATTGGGAATTACCCTAGGAATGAAGCTACCGTACCACATTATATAAGAACACAGATGCCTTCAATTACTGCCTGCTCAGTTGGTAGCATTCAACTACAGTTTATCTTAATGTTCTAAAAAGTAGTTTATTCTGGTCTTGTGTGCTTAAAGAATTTTCTCAGGGATGTGTATGCTTATTTTGGCCCAAACAAATTACTTTAGTTTGTAGTAACAAAATATACTTACAGCTATTGAACTATCTATTTACAATCGAAACCCCACAGGTATTAAGGCTTCATTATTATAAATCTGAAAAAATCCCTATCCTCTTTCTTCCCACTGGAATAATTTTTTACATTAGTTTATATTAAAAATGAAGTATTTCTTAGAAATACACACAATTTATAGAAGTCCCTGGATGGTGCAAGTGGTTAACAGGCTTGGCTGCTGACCAAAGGGTGGAAGTTGGCATTTACCCAGAGGTGCCTGACAATCTACTTCTGGAAAAACAAAACAGAAACAGCCACTGGAAACACTATGGAGCACAGTTCTCTCTGACACACATAGGGTTACCATGCGTTGGAACTGACTCGATGGCAACTGGTTTATAGAAGAGCAAGATCAATACAGCATTTCAGAAAATGGCAAAGCTTCATAAAATATCTAAAGTTGAGAGAAATCTGCAAGGCTTTCAAATCAAGGGTCTTGATAAGAATTCTGAACTTTAAAGCTTTACTTAGAATCTGTTTTTCTCCACATTAAATTTAGATACTAAGCCGGGGGTGGGTGGGGGGGAGAGAATTACCAGTACCTGGGGCATATTGGTGTGATATGGAAAGACTGGATCCATGAAAACCTGCCTATTACATGGTTTGTCATTTTACATAAAGTTTCAACTACAGTCTGATAGACTTCTCCAAGATACCATTATTGATTTAACTTGACCACTTGGCACATGCAGATTGAGAAGTAACTGAAGACCAATTCAATCTGTGCTATGCTGTCTCTCTAAACATGGTCTTTTGATAATCTTTTTAATTTCTTTATGCAAGAAACATTTTCAAGATGCTATTTTGAAATACCTATAAGACAAATTTAATACATTTTTCCTCATTAAACATGATGATGATCTATAGGGTGCCATTAACAAATTATATTTATTTCAAGCAATTCTTAAAATATCATATTTTTATATTCATATGAGGTATGCAGTAAATACTTACTGAAAAGATAAATGGTCATATACTCTGAAGAACATTCTATATCAGTATACTTCAAACTACCTCATTCTTTTAAATAACTACAGAGTATTCCATTCAGTGGACACACCACAGTGTGTGTGTGTGTGTGTATATGTATATATATATATATATTTTTTTTCTTTTTCCCAACCGATTCCATATAGATATTAGGGTCACCACATCTTTTTAAAGGACAGACACTTAAGTTTCCAGTGAGCAAATCAATGCCACGAATCTCATAAAAACAAACCATGGAGCGCTGAGGTCTAAATAAAATATTTTAAAAATAATATGTCTTGCATTCCAAACAGACAAATCTCTTTATTCAGTTCAGGATCCCCTTTCAGTTACATGTATAACTCATGGCACTTTACCACGTAGTTGTTTCTTTAGTCTTTTCTTTAGTGGTTTCTTTCATCACCTAGATTTCTAGTATTTCCCCAAAGAGATTTTCTTTTCTTTTTTACTTTGCTAGAATCTATTTCAAGTCCTAACTGAAAATGTACATAAGATAATGTATGTGGGAACACTCTGTAAAGTGTAAAACACCATTCAGTGTAAGGTACAGTTAGGAAAAGAGTAAAGCTACTAGTAGATACTCAGTTATCTGTTACACAGTCTTACCTATAATATACTATTAAGTTTGGCAACTCATAGAGAAAGGAGACACATTCCATCTGTTTTATCCCTGGACCATAAAAATTCATCTAAATGGCATAGACAGCTGCCTTTTCTGCAGCTTGGGGTAAAAAAAGAACATGTTACTTACCTTTTTCTTTTTCTTTTAGGTAAGCTGACACTAAATCATGAAGAAACATGATAAGCTCAGCATCCATAGTCACACAAATGTGGTCAGTAAACTCTGTTACCACACTACATTCTACCTTTGGCTTCAAGTTGGCATCTGCAATGGTAAAGTTCTTTTGTAGTAAAAGATTTAATAAAGTAAGTTCCTTCCTTTTTCTGATAATAAGGGATCTACATGGGTCTCTGCATCCACTTGACATCGAACTATAGAGAAATGAGTGATTCTTCTATGTGATTTATAAAATGATCGATAGCTTACTAAGCACATCCCAGTATATGCTATTCTCATCACAGTCCTATGAATGAAGTCCTGTTATTATTCCACTTTCACTGAGGAGAAAGAGACATAAATGGGTTAAATAATTTGCTAGAGGGCACATAGCTTGTAAAAAAATCACTTTGAGCCATAAAATCTCTATTATTACATCATATTAATTTCACAAAGATAATTTGTGGGAATTACATTAGAATTTTCTTAGTAATTATAGAAACTAAAGACTCTTTTCCACATACCTTGTAATGAAGGTTCCTGTGGTTCTTGAACATGAATGGACTTAAAGTCGAGCTGCATTCTTGGTAACGCAAAGATGGTCTCAGTTTCATGATTGTAGCTAGAACCTCCTCTGAATCCACTTAACAAGCTAGAGTTCTTCACAGTGGTGCTATTTTCAGTGTTATTACCATCAACATTACGAAGCAGGTTTAGCTCTACAGGCATGATAATAAAGACAATAAGAATTAAACCATCAGGCATTGATAATCAGGTAACTTTCAAGGTACTATGATATACAGAACTTTTTTCATTTTAAATGTCGGAAAATAATGATTATATATCTCTATCTATCTACCTAGCTATCTATATAAAAGCAGAGAATAATATATACTTCACTATTCTCAAGACCAAAGCTTTGTATATGATTTTGGATCAATCCATTAGATTTTTGTTGTTGTTCCTCTAACTTTAAAATGAATGTTATTTTCAATTGAATTCATGTGTGAATTTAAGAATTATTTAAAATAAGTCCAAACTTCTCCAGAGACTAAACCCTCTACTCTTATAGAATTTGGGATTAAATGTGACACTGACCTTAAAATCAGATAGAAGTCCTGATTTTCCCCTAATAGAAGTGCTATGGTTACACTATGACTTTCTCACAAAAATTAGCATTTTTCTAGGCATACAAACAGCAGTTCTGTATACTAATGGCCTCTCCAGGGCATCCCAGACAGAAAGAATCTTCTCCCCCAAACTCCCGTTTAGATGAATAGTCAATACAGGCATAATCTTCCAGTTAGTTCACTGTCTTATGCACCTTTATTTTTAGAACACTTGAAAAAGTGTTTTATTTAATCCTTGGGATCTCCTATTGCCTGGTAAAAATATTCTCCATGGAACCTAAATCATCATCTTTTCCATTTTGAAAAAGAGGTCATTTTTAATTAAAATATTCAAGTTTTAACATGTCTCAATCTAGTCAGCTTTCTAATACAGAAGAGATGATTGATGAAAGCAATACTGTTGCAGTGTAACAAATTACTTTGTGTGGCTTTTCTACCCATAAGTCTTTGTAAACTCCAAGGTGGGATTTGCTATGAGCAACTGAGGAGCTCCTGATTGCTGAAGGTGTCCACCTGGAGTATTTCTGTTGGGCGTGGCACAAAACAACGTTCTGGGAGGTGCCCACTCTCTCTCAGGTGCTTAGAGTTCTGATGCTATAATTGGCTAGTTTGACCACCCTGCGGGCTCTAAAGGAGACCTCCTGGAGGCAGAACTCTCTCTCTGACTGCTGGTTGAAGAAGAGGTGCTGCTGAAAGAGACACGGGCTCCTGAGACACGTGTTGCTGGGAAAGAGACACAAGAGACACGCATCACTGAGTGAGACACCGAGGGACCAGCACTGCTGGGAAAGAGACTGTGAGAGACTCTTGGCTGAGGGACGGTGGGCTGGGAGAGAGACTGAGCGTTCTTCCTGAACTTGAGTTGTAGCCTGGTGCTTCCCTAATAAACCCTGTAATCTGTGAGTTCTGTGTGGCCACTGCAGCAAATTATCGAACCCAGGAGAGAGGTGGTGGTGCTTTGGGAGGAACGGTTGGTGAAAGGGCTGGAGGGAGGCAGCATGTCTGGCTTTGCAGTTAATAGGCCTTGGGTTACTGCTGGTAATCCTGTCTTCCTCTTGTGAGATTAAAGGAGGTCAGAACATGTGGCCTCCTTGCCGTTTTTGCAACTGTAAACTCAAACTGTAAGAAAACAGCCAGAAGAGTCCCCATGACCACATTAGAAAGAGATTGGTGAATCTAATCAAATGAAAAATTCATCAAAGGCATTCTCCTGAAAACTATCACTTAATAGGAATAATATTACTTTTTAGTTTCATTCTGTTCTAATCATTCCAAACATCCAATTTGTGGCATTCTACTATTTAGTTGAGTAGAAACTTTCCCAAACCTCCAATTTTCAGCCTTACTACAAAAATAGTTTTCTAATTATAATACAGTAAAATTAATTATAATTTAAAATAAATTTTATTCTAAATGTTTTACGTTACATCTAATGTAATTTGAGAGTCTATGAAATATTAAAGAGCCCTGATGGTGCAATGGTTAAGCACTCAGCTGCTAACTGAAAGACTGGCAGTTTGAACCCATTAGCCACTTCACGGGAGAAAGATGTGGCAGTCTAATTCCATGAAGATTTACAGCCTTGCAAACCCTGTGGGAGAGTTCTATTATGTTCTATAGGGTCATTATGAGTAAGAATCAACTAGACAGGAACAGGTATGAGATGTTACACTACTAGGGTGGTGAGTTATGTACTAAACAATCAGTACTTGTGTCGGAGGAGTAAAATGAAATGTTTTAATTAAGGAAATAAAAACTACCTCTGCTTAAATTCTAAATACAGTCAACAGAACCAAAAATAGAAAAGACAAAATTAAATAATTCTCTTCAAACAATGAAATTTTAACCTTCATTCCTTGTGGCTGTAACATAATTGAACCATTCTTTCACACTGGCTACTCCATGGGGTGGATTTTCATGGCGACGCCTTGTTATCTTAGTTATTGTTGCCATGGGACTTTCCAAAGCACCACATGGTTTGGTAACCATGGTATTATGACCCAGATGGAAATCCAATGTTTGTACAATATATGTAGAGTGATCACTGGAACCTGAAGAAAAAGAAATGTTTTTTTAAAGTAACAAATAATATATATTTAGGCAGAGAAAAGTAGTTATGGCCCCAGAGTAATAAATTTAATTAAGATATACACAGACAGAGAAGGTTGTAAGATTGAGGACTAAGTAAGAGAGAGAGAGAAAAAAAAAAAATCACAAATAACTTTTTATTTTTGGTTTTAATTGGTTTTATCACCAGTAAGATGAAGACCAGCAGTTAAGTCTACAGCTATACCACACTGAATGTGCCTGATCTTGTCTACAAAGCAGGGAGTAAGATGACAAGACCTGAAACAGGTGCTTTAACATATTCCAGACTTTCTCAATATCAGCTCATTGGTAGTGAATCCTTGACATGTCAGGTACATGGTAATTGAGATGGACTTCAGAAATATTAAAAGAAAAACTGACAAAAGGTATAAGAAAGGAAAATTACTTTGTCATTTATAATTATATTAGAAGATAGAAAAATGTAAAAGATAGAAATGTGTCAGTTTACCATCTTCCCAAATTTTTTGAGCTTCAGTCCAAAAAGCAATATTTGGTTCTTCTAAATGAAAAAGAGCCCAGGATTTTGAGCGGAAATTTGGACCATGAAAACAAGCCAGTGTCATATGATTTCCATGTAAGCTCATTGATCCTCCAAACTGCATTCCATCTTCTGGTAATGGAATCTGAAATAAGGATATGTGGCATCCTGACACCACTTTCAATACTCCAGGCCAATGACGATGATGAGCTGCATCAAGCACTGCAAGAGAACCAACACAATTTATCCTGAATGAATATTCTGAATGGGGGAATGAGAAGGCAGCAGGTGGATACTGTCTACAGCTGAATGTGACTTTAGTATGGGATGAAAATAACTACCCAGCATCTATTCAATATGAGGCAGTAGTTAGTAAAGAGACTGTCTGGGAAAAGATGCTACATGAGGATGGATAAAGTAGTAATGGAAATATTAACTTGCTAGTAATAATTAGAACCAACACTTCTGTAATGATTAAAGATTTACAAAGTGCTTGACTGCATTATATAATTCTGACAATGACCTTGTAAACTAGGCATTTCATCTTTACTACTTTTAAGTTAAGTAACAGAAGAACAGAGGGGTTAAGTAAGTGACTGGAAGACCTAGAAATCAAAAACAGACCCCTTGATTTTAAGTCTACTGTTTTTCACTCTTTTGTAAGTCTGCTACTTAAGATGCGGCCTGAGGACCAGCAACATCAGCATTACTAGGAAGCTGGGTAGAAATCTGTATCATACCCACCCCATCAGAACCTGCATTTTAATAAGATCTCCAGGTGTTTCAGATATGTTTGAAATTCAGTATTTGCAGTGTAGTCAGCCCCAGGGTTACAGGTGAGGAGAGACAACTTAGGGACGCCCAAAGAAGCAGGCCAGAAGAGTAGGAGAAAGGGGATTAAAAGCCAGGAAGCCAGACAGAGGAATAGTCAGCCAGGTGGGGGTGATACGAGAGGTCTCCAACAGCAGGACAAACTTGTCTGT